GGAGAAATGGAAGCTTTCAGTTGCCACTCACATGTGTGCTTCTGTCTCTTTCATTCAGCTCTTTCTGTGGCTAAACAAATGAGTTAGGGATAACTCTTTCTGCCTTCTTTTTTGTGCAAACATTCCACGCTGATCACAAACTACATCAATTATGTTACATTAGGAGACGCTTACACCGCCCCCTTCTTCCGTGGCGGTTCCCCTTTAAGCCTGATCCAACATAGATGCATCTCAAGTTATTAGAAAAAATAATGAGGCTTTGTGTGTCGATGCGTGATCATCAACGATAAAACATCAGCTGATGTACGTGCTTTGAGCAGAACTTCATCAACACACGCCGGTGACAGGGAAGGAAGTCGACAACGGATCAGTTGAAGCTCGTGTTTTCGTGCAAGGACAAGATAAGCCGTTTGTTGGTGGTGGTGGACGAACGTGTTTGTGTGTATTAACGTAGACGCTTGCGGAGGTAAGCCGCGAGTTGATAATGAATTTGGATTAAAATTGTTGCAGTTCCATTCAATCGAGCGTGATTAACGTCGCCGTTTAGTGAGACTGAAAGAGGGAACGCATTTGGCGTAAGAGACGTGGTTCAAAGAGACCGTGTCTACGTACGCCGAGCAAACGGACACTTGCGCCGCTGCGTACAGTGACATCCTAAACAAGGATTTAAATCCATATTTCCATATAATTATTCGGACCCATCTGAACCGGCACAAAAATCGCACTATTCCCGTCGCAATTTGCACTGTGTATAATCTAGGTATCAAATATGCGATGGTTTGCTGTGTTTTGATAGTTGTGGCATACCTTAGCTTAGGCGAAATCCACAACGGTTCCTCTTCGGTTTTGTACACTCGGCCTACTCTTACCCCCCTAGTAAACGGATTTTCAATAATGACGGCTTTGTCTTGTTCTTCGTCGCTATCTTAATACAGTACAAATGAAGTGATATTCATTTAAAGTAAAAAGAGTGTGATATTTTTGTCTAGTTTTTGGTTATTTCTTGAATGAAGCACGATGAATGTCAACCCGAAAATCCTCAAACGCTTATCTAATGGAATAAATTTGACGCCCTAATATTTATAGTATAAGACCGTAATTACGCAAAATTAGCCAATGAAATACGTCAACCTCTATTCTGAACGCATGAAAAGCATCTGATCATCTGTTCGTGCAATATCGGGCTGTGTGGTCCCCATCGGCAAAATGAGTTTGAATTTATCGGAGGATATTCCCGCCACCTTCACAGATTCTTCCATAATTCTCAGCAGGAGAGTGAGTATACAGCTGGACTATAATAGGGATTTAATCCGATGATCATTGCATTACATACGTCGCTGAAAGTAAAGTTTCAAGTGTTGCCAGAGCTTTGATTGATCCAAGTACATGGTTAGTTGTGCGTATTCTGGGTGGTTGGTCTAAGAGTGTTTGGTTGTGCTGTTTTTCCTTTATGTGAGCTGTCGTGAACTGTACAGACGACCAATTGCCTCCGTGCCTCTCAATCCTATCGGTATTGCTGAATTTCAACCACAGGGCATCATATTTGTACGGGACGTCAACTTGGTGAATTTGTATTTGAACTGTCTATCGTGATTGCATATCCAATATTCTGGCATTAAAAAAGACGCACTTCCTTGAGCTATACTCAAATGATTTAGTCAACTCTACATGCGACTACATTCGGACGTTTTGGCCCTATAAAACTAGCAGGAAAGTTGTATGCCAACTGTCCAACGTAATCTATAGGAAGACCTTTCGTTACGTTGCTCCGGCTTGTGCTGATAAATTCTAGAGCAGCTGAATCTTCTGGTGTGGGAAACTATCAGCAGGTCTAACTTTTCACCTGCTTGTGCCAGCTGCACTCCATGGGCACGGACAGACTGCTGACTTGCTTACAGAAAACCGTTCGGTCATGCTTGCTAGAAATAGGTGGACCTTCAAGCGACTACTTATCAGTAATAAACAGGCGTGCAGTTCCGTAAAGAATATAGTTACGACAGTTTTTTCATCTGTGAGTTTGTTCTCCAAACACGTTCTACAGGTGGATGTCCGACCAGGAAGCAGAACCATACTGGTTTCCAAATGACTGAATTTCAAGAGCAGCTGAGACTAATTAATATAATACTCTACCCTTATACTTGCTGAGACGTTTTTGTCTGGAACAGTAGGATAACCATCGAAAGGCGTACATTCTGGAAAATTTTGTTAATTTATCATGTCTTAACAAGACGCTCAAATATGGCCTGTTTGGCGGCTGTGTGAGATTACTATTGGTGGTTCATCTTGTTTCATCTTACGCAGAACTCGGTCTCCTTATCGCCATGACATACAGAAAATTTCCCGGTTCGCAGACGAAACTGCTACTCCCTCATGCGTTAGTCGTTCAGTCGGGATTTCGGCTCCATTCTGCAGATGTCCGGTACCAGCTTACCATTTACCGAAAGACTTAATACTGATTGAATACTGAAACAGGAATCTAACAGGTAAAAATGTTTTACTCAGACCAGTTTTCAGAACAGGTTTCCTTATGAACAAGAAGTGATACTAAATAATAGATGACGCTGTTTTTAAAAAAATAATGAAATTAGACACATCATATGTATGTCTAATAAATGTTGCTATTTATAACTACACTGCGGTGACCGGCATTTGCAAAAGCGAAAACACGCTTTTTGCGAGGTTTCAGAATCTCATTCGAACTAATCGTAGATTTTCACAGAAAGAAGACCCCCTATGCCGATGCAAATGGGGGAACCAAGACAAGAACTGATCTTGTAAGGATACTGTTTGTTGCCTGGAGGGGTTCCTTTATGGGACACACACTTTGTCCATTTTAATGTGAGATCTAATGGTGATAAACTTTGTTTGGTAAATGTCGGATATATTTCAAACTGATTCGCTTTCCCTCAGATCGGTGCTGTCAACTGAGCAGGAGAGGACTTTATTCCACCACGGAACTACGGAAAAACCGGAATACGATATAAACATCTGTATGAGGCTGCATTCTTACGGGCTAGAACAAAATTGTGGTTTCGTTCCTGACATTCCCTCTAACCTGATGGTTGCGTGAGTTCCCCCACTTAAGACCAGAACAATTTGCTTCCCTAAATTTTGAATGCTCGGTCTTCATGATGCAGTAGATCCCTTCGATACATAATAAATCCTTACTTCAGGTGAAAAAAATCATCCCCATCCCGGTCAGTTGCTGCGTAAGTGGAGTTAGTAAATGCGGAACTATTTGCCTCTATTTGCTAAGTGAAATACTCGGGCAAGAACATGATACTGCTAAGTAGACGCGGGTTGGTAAGTATAGGGTGCAGAATGATGGAGTTTAGTGAGATACAAGCAAACAAATCTAACTCGAGAGACCTAAAAATTATACTTTCGAGCAATACCAGAAACGCCAGTTTTTCCAGAATTTCATGGAATAGTTGACGCTAGCGCATAAAATTCAAAAAGTTGGTCAACTCATGTGCTGAAGCATATGCAGTCGACACCGATATAGCAATTAAAGCAGATGACAAGAACCTCATCTTTTCTCTGGCCAACACCAGTGTATTTTGACAACAGTTTCAGTGGGCTTTACGTTGAATGGCTGAAGCAGTGCTGGCCCACGGCTATAAGGATTACACTTGCTAGTATAACGTATTTAGCACACTGACCTCCCGGGAATGTTTGCAGAGCAGTACGTTCCAGTACTCGAGGAGTCAATGAATTTACTTGTCGTTATGTCAGTTAACTTAGGGTAAGCGTTTGAATTTTATTTAAGGCATTAACACATAACTGCATGAAACCTGAAGAACAGATCGTTCGAACTTGGGACAATTTGCCTTTCCTAAATAAACGCGGGTAACCTAGTAATAATTTAGTTATACATCGCGCTCGAGTGACCAGATAATGTACTAGTTAAGTGGATACTTGTGCGACTGAAAAAAAATGATAGGGGAATTAGGAACTAAATTAAAGAGTTTTAGAATTCTGAAGGTCGACCGTCAGTTTGCTCCCTCGAATTGGCATCAAAATACGGTTCGTTTCCGCAACCAAACAATAATCATGTGCGCAAAGTTTACAACCCTGGTAAATATCTAAGTCATCCAATGATGTTGTCAAATTGGCTAGCAAATTTGGTGGTTAATTCGAGGATGGATTGTATGTTACGTAAATGCAGTTATCAGGTGTTAAACAATGTCTAACGCGGAGGAAGCGGGGAATTCCATCTTGTTTCGTATGTGTGAGCACTTAGTCAGCTCCCCTACTTGGGAAATCCTTGTCTTGAATCTCGGGAAGAGCAGCCTGAAATTGACGTATTCACCGTTCAGGTTCATACAAGTAACTCGACAAATTTTTTGAGACATCGCTGCAAATACACACAGCATGCCACGAACTAAATGCATGCGTTTCCTTTCAAAAGAGTTAACCAAAAAAACCCAGTGAATGGACTGTCCAAAATAAACGTCATTCCTCAAGAAAATAATGAAGATAATGAGAAAAAGATGGGAAACGGTCCCATTTTGAATGGATAACCGTTTTAGGAAAATAGCCTTATCAGCATTTTGACCTCACGTATTGGACACACGACTGTGTCATTACTGTTAAACATGCCTTTTGAGCCTTAACAAGCTTCGTGTTTGAGTTTGTTTTCAATTTTAGTTGGCAATTAAAGAGCAGGCATCACGTGTCAAGTATGATGACCTCACGTATCTTGGAATCTCCAGTCACTAGATAGGTAGATTTTATTTGCAGCATTTTTCGTGAGAAGACACGTAAGTATCCAGCTCAGTTAAAGCCTCATAGCCTGCGCTAATTTTAGTATAAGGAGAACTGTGATGATACCGTGTAGTTTAAATACACCTCGGACGGAGTTTACGCGGCATTTCTTGATTATTCTCAGTGATTCCTCATTACAGACTGACTCGAATGATTATTTTGATGTGCCATCTTGAGCAAACAACCAGATTCAAAACAGATGTACTATGAAGTTCACGGGTAAATAAACTTACCTCGGTTAGGAGGGCAAGCAAAGTGAGAAGTCCAAGACTGATTCTAGCCGGAGCCGCCTTTACATCAATCCAAAATCCCAGCCATGAAACCATCACAATCAGCACCTCAGGGATATAAGTCGTCACAAGATAAGATCCCACCAAACGTTGAAAAGAGATGGTGAGCAGGAGGCAGCTGTAGGTACCGGTACTAGTAGTGCCATTGGTGGTGCAGTCCTAGAAGGCAGAAGTAGAAAATCGAGAGAATTTGAAAATTTTCGAAAGGTTTATAAGTAGCAGCTTGCAGACTAGCTGGATTTGTCTGCAGACAATAATCCTCTGGCATGTTTGAAGAGTTCTGTGCTAAAACGCTCCCTGAGATTGATTTCCGTTAGGTTAAGTCAGGAGTTGGTTACCTGCGAATTCTGATCCCGGAAATAAACCCTAAACAAGGTGAATAATCTGTCAGTTTTGTGAGGTTGCAAAATTTTTTTTTGCCGTAGAAACGAACCGCCTACACATTCCCTCACTTTTCCGATCCATACAAAATCTGTGCACAAACATGGCCTAGGTGCTTATGTTGAGAAACAAAGTTCCACATATATAAATATATTATATATATGTATGCATGTATATACATATACCAATTGACGTTCTGTACGCAAAATAAAGCGCCTGACTATTTGTCCCTGGATTTATCTTCTGCTAAGACCTGAATTGCAGATAGTTTGTTCAAACACTACCTGTAATCAGGTGGGCATCGCCAACCGAACAAGTTACGCTTATGAGACAAGTGTTACTATTGTAATCCACTCGAATAATGCAGACGTGCAGTGATCATTTGTGGTGACAGGAAAATTCCTGAAAAAAACGGAAAAACAGCATTACATCGTTCGTCACAAACAGCGATCGCCCGCACTTTCCTTGAAGAAGGCGCGATTTAAACAAATGTGTGACCGTCTAACTCCGGATGCGACAGATTTTGGTGTGCTCAGTGACTCGAATGTTAGAGCAAAAAATTCGACGACGAATCGAAGTGAAAATTTTTGACATCAGCAAACCTTCACAAACGGCCTGTGGCATGTGTGAAGTTGATGGAAGATGGTGGGATTATATAGCTACGTATTTTTCCAATCAGTATTCGTTTTCTGTCGGATTCTCACATTTAATTATTTATCAAAAACTTCTGCCGGGTAATCTGCGCACGTGCACGTATAACCTGCCACCTTTCGAGGCTTTTTATCCTCACTACGCAACATGATGTTTCCAGCTTCCAAATTTTCAGCATAAAATGCCAGAGAGGTAGCGATGTAACGATATGAATTGATTAAAAGTAAATTAGGGATAATATACACCCTGAAATAACCGATCGTCACACGTTTGCTAGATTATGGTAATGGTCTACAGAGCAGTAGTGCCAAATGGTAAATGACGTATTCACCGATATTTGACTACCACTGGAATACTTCTTTACTATCCACTGATGTTTTCTTGAAAATACCAAGGAGCAATAGGTGGGTAATATTGGTATGCCATCTAGGCAGCACTTGAATGGCTGGACCGGCACCTCGTGTTAGCATATGTATCTGCATATGTCACATTTTATTCTTAAGTGAACATTATCTAAGGATCATGTGATTCAAAGTATAGCATGTTTGAACATGGCCTTCCAGCTACAATCAGCTTAAGTCAGCAAGTAATTAGTCGGCCTTCCGTCGCTTTGATGATGCAGGCAGTTTAATTCCCGTTCCTTGCAAAGCGTGAAATCCCTGTGTTCTGTCTAGAAGTAATCCTAATTATCCACAATTCTAACCTTAGGAACAACGTGAACACATAAAATTTTATTTCGCGCCACTGTTCAAATGATTATTTCTCCTGGTTCTGTGCTTTCTACAGATACAACTTTATCTACTACTTTATCTGCTTTTCTAACTCACCCCACTAGAACGTCCATCTGATCAAAATTCATCAACATGTCAATTTTCACACACGCCATCCATCTGTATACTGTCAGTAAGATTCAACCTTCTCAACGCTTGTTATAAATATGCTGTTTCGCCACCCTTCTCACTCCATTCTCTATCCGGCCACGTAACTGCTGTTGCTAGGCTTACGTTGGTGTTGACCGGAATCAAAGCTACAAAATGGTCGGTTTAACTAATTCATCGGTTCTTTGACCTATAATTGGGTAATATGGAAAACTGTTGTCTGCTTGGATTATCCAGAGGTACAGGCAATTACAGGTACAGGCAATTGGTATGTCACGTGGTGAGCACAAATGTTCAGTGTCATACTTGCTATCTGATAATGTTGAGGATGACTTTGTGCTGCGCCAATCCAATCATTTAGCGTCCAAACAACCAGCTAATTAAGAAACTAGCGCAAGAAGCTATGGTGCCGAGAGCTACTCAAGCTGGCAAATTTGGACCAGCTCAAAAAGTCGCCCTGATGCTTTGGTTTGCTTCTGAAAGGTTGCATAAAGTAGTGTTTTCCCAAAATGCTTTGATGTTGTGAAAGCTATTGAAATAAGTCCGGCAGACAGCTCATATTTTCTTGTTCGCCTCCAATCACCATGTATGAAATAGCCAGCTATGATCAAGCGCTGCATGGCAATGGACATGCCGTCATAACCAGGACTGAAAGCAAGAATAGCTCGTTGCAAGAATATTCCGCGTCGAAAACCAACAGGCTCTACGGAGGGTGGTGGGTAAAGACAAAAGATGTCTATATCAAGCACAAAATATCAGGATCTTTTCACCAGGTTGCCCAAGTATTGTGTGGAATCAATTGAGTACAAACATTTTCATTTCGGTACTGCACAGATATTTGAAGTAGTAAATAGTCCTAACTGATGATTACCGGTATTTTAACCTTGAGCGCTGCGAATAAGAACTTTTGTAGGAACCTCGTCATTGCAAAACACTGAGCTATTCAAAGTTTTTATAAAAGCAAACATTACGTCATAACAGGGATATTTTTTAAATCAAAACTATTTTCAGGTCAGTATGAGAAAAAGAAAAATTAGTAGCTTGGTCTGTAATGGCACATTTTCAAAGGTGTGAAAAATATCCATCATTTGTAAGTTTTTAGTTTAAAAACACCTCCCGCAGAACAGGAGAGAAATGGATACATACAATTCTCCAAGTAAGTACTTATTTAGGGCCTAGACTATCTAGAGCATGAAGTCCTTATTCATTCCCTGACAACCGTACAATCTTCCCTCGTGTCTTGGGCAATTATAACTAGGGTCACAGGTTGAAACAAAACTTGATTCTTTAATATTGTTGTAGATCCCTTCGTCCAAAGCGGAGGCAGTCAGTGATGAAGAGCTGTGAGATATCGCATGATTGCTTTACCTACGTTGGGGAACTGACATCGTCGAATGTTTTCTTTCCCAAGTTGCATACTGAAATTCTTGAAAATTGGAAGTGCGTATAGTCAAACTGCTTCGCGTAGTAAAAGCTAACTCTGCTGGAATCATGTTTCTTGTCAACTATCTAATCAATATAATTATGACTGCTATCTTTACAACTTTACAAGTTTTCAAACTTCCCAGTTATCTTTTCCGTTTTCAGATAGAGGCACTAGCCGAGGGTCTTCAGCTACTCTCACTTTTCAGTTTTTAATTATTTTTTCAAAACCCACTCCCATTTATCTCGCTCGAAACTTTTGTGCAATTTATTATAATCTACACAGAACACTCGGTGATTTGACGGTACTAGCTAGCTAGATCTTTACCCAAAACTTCATGATCAGTCCCGAACTACTGAATTAATTTAGAGCATTTGATAGGCTGTTGGTAATTCATCAATGTTGTCGTTGCCAACGACGCACATCACGTTTTTTTGGCGAAAATGACATAGTCTACCGATAACATTGAACCGGCGCATTAGTTACCGTTCCACTCGAGAAGTCACTTATTTGACCCTATCTCTAGCTCAGATCTAGACGTACGAGGCAACGACAAGCGAACCAGTGCTCTCATTTATTGATTATTGCAACTGAATGATGCGCGGAATGATAAGTTGATACATGGCCATTGTTGGTGATGCATCGGTGGACAAACGTTGATCTGCTAGTTGGTCTGTGGTCCAAAACAGGTGATTTATCTGAATGAGCAGGAAGTATCACAAAACACACGACAGATTTATCAAAATGGTTTGCGGATTTTTGCCAACTTATTTATTGCAAGATGCCTCAGTAATATCAATTAGTTGGTCATTCTGGTAGAGCTTTTCTATAAATCCCAAGACAGACGGGTGTGAAACTTAGATATTCTGTGATAGGCACAACAAACGCGGGTTTCAGGCTAAAACCTGTGAAAAATAGGCACGCGCCATCTTTAATCAATATTTGTATGAGGGATACTGCATAGTTGTTCAAAAGCTTACTGAATTCACTTTCTCGTGATTTATTTAGCATTCCCTGTGCAGTAACGAAGACAAAAGAACTGTACCACGGAGCGATTCGTTCACCAGTTGGCTACCGGAGAAAAATGGCTTGATCAGGGATTACTGAAGTCTATGAATACTCGCGACCATATGGTGACAGCCCTAAACGCGAGAATTAAAGTCAGGTCAAACAAAACACTTCTTCAACCAATGTCCGCGCAATAGCAGTTTTAGGAAATTTTTCATTAGTTAAACCAGGTGTCTAGTTCTTTATTTAATCGATGCAACGTGATTAGATGTCATCCGATATTGATTTTAGCAGCCCAAAGTGGCTGAACCGCGGAGTGAATGCCCATAGTCATCACAACAAAACCGGTCTTCTTTAAGCTGAGGTATTTATTCAGGTGACGCAAAGCAGTGCCTCATTATTCCCACATGTGATTAAAAACTTATAACGTACAAGCTTTTCCGATTCATAAAGTGTTTGCTCCCACCTCCGTTCCAGCACTCCTTAACATTGCTAGCTCACTAGCAGGAAGACAATTCTGGTGTAAAGCACATTTAATCAGATTTCTGTTGCTCTTCAGCAAAACATTCACACCGGGCTTGTGAAGCTTTGGAAACTGGTGCTTTCCTGGGCTAAGAACAGATGGAAGCCGCTGGCAGTTCTGAAGGGTTTGAAAAACAATCAAGGAATGTGATGGTTTTGACAGCTGACTGGACCCAAACTTTCACAGCTTTGCAACATTTGAATGGCGACCGAACTTGTTCCTTACATAGAGTTTCAAATAATGACTCCGTATATATTTTGTATACGTATGTACAAAAAGTGATCAGCTCTGTGAA